TTTTTGAAGAACCCGGACTCAAGAGGGACACGTGAGATCGCACCTGTTCTTGGTTGGGGCATAGTCTGTAAGTTATATATGCCGTGCAAGCATGTTGAGTTAGAGACACTTTAGAGACGCTAGCAAGAAGAACAAGAGTGCAGCTCATGGCCATAGTCGGTTCATCACCTTCCTGGCTTGTAGTGGCTCCAACCCCAAGTTGTCAGTGAGATCTCCCAGGGACAGCTCACAAAGCATTTGGCCATCAACGCCGTTCTCCTCAAACTTTGGGGCCAAGTAGCTCAAAGAAAGGTGATGCAAAAACGACACTACATCTGCGACTGACCAAGATTCAGCTTCTTCAATGACTCCAGGTGGACGGCAAGGCGCAGCTCGAGGTGATGCGCTGGGAGCATGGACAAGAGGGGTCGCAGTATGGCCAAAACAATGACCGCAGCCTTGCACCACAGGCTTGCAGATCACGATGGGCTTTGTGAAGTTAAAGACGAGCAAGCGCTTCAGCATCATCTCAACATCACCCTGTTGCAAGAACTTCTTCCCCTTCAGCTCCGTCAGGTCCGCCGATAGTGTGGTGATGAAGACTGGGTCATCTCTGGCATATCGCAGGTGCCTAGAGAACTGGTTCTGCGGCCTCGAAATGATGAATGGAGCCCCTTCAAACCACAGCAGCTGCAAGGCATAGGGGATGACATCTTCTTCATTGAAACGCCAGCCGTCTAGCAACGCCAAGCCTGCTTTCTCTAAACCCATGAGGGGGAAGGAGCTTCTCGATGGATCGATGGAGGTGCAACGTTTGCAGGCCATCGTTGAGAAGAGCTGGAAGGTGCAGCAGGTTGAGGATTTCATTACCTTCCAGACCAAGACATGATGGCAGGTGCTGCACGCAGGATGCGCTCAGCAGTGGTTGTACTTGTGAAGGTGCATGGGCTGGCTGTGCGCAAAGAATTTTTGAGCAGAATGACATCCCTGAGGCAGCTTGGTGTCAGGCCATGACCGCGGCTTTGCAGGGTGGGAGAGCCAAGGGAAACTTGGTGCATCACTTTCAGGCCCAGGTTGAAATACTACGACAAAGAAATGGTGGGATGGCCCTTGGCGCCCTTCCTGCATGGGATTGTCACAAGTTGCGTTGACTAGGGGCATCAAGTTCTCTTGCATAGGTTGCAAGTTCTTGCACTGTTCTGGCAACAATGGAAACTTGGCTTCAGATGTAGGGTGGCCGGAAGCATCCACCTTTTCTGGGCTTCTCACAGGCCTGGAGAGGTGGCCCTTAGCATCCACCTTTGTGGGGTTGTCACAAGTTGAGATGACAGGTTCCAAGCGCGCCAACAGTAGAGACTTCGCAAAAGACGTGGAGAGGTGGCTCTTAGCATCCACTTTGTAGGTTGAGATGCAAATGCTACGAAAAGACTTAGAGAGGTGGCCCTTAGCATCCACCTTTGTGGGGTTGTCACAGGTTGAGACGACAGGTTCCAAACACGCCAACAGTAGATACTGCGAATAAGACGTGGACGAGTGGCCCTTAGCATCCACCTTTGCGGGGTTGTCACAGGTTGAGATGACAGGTTCTAAGCACGCCGACAGTAGGTACTGCGAAAAAGACGTGGAGAGGTGGCATCTACCTTTGTGGGGTTGTCACGGGTTGAGATGACAGGTTCCAAACACGGCAACAATTGATACTGCGCAAAAGACGTGGAGAGGTGGCCCTTAGCATCCACCTTTGTGGGGTTGTCACAAGTTGTATTGAGAGGTTCAAAAATGCCAACAGTAGAGACTGACTGCGAAAAAGACGTGGAGAGGTGGCTCTTAGCATCCACCTTTGTGGGCTTGTCACAGGTTGAGATGTAGATACTAAGAAGAAACACGTGGACCGTAGCATCCACCTTTGTGGGCTTGTCACAGGTTGTGTTGGCCATGGATACACCATGATTGGAAAAAATCTCCCCGCTTCTTCAAAAACAGCCATCAAGTCAGGGGCGAAAAGAATTCTGAAGCCCCCATATCCCCCCAGTTCAATGTTGCTGATTGGTCCCCTGACATGTACCGGCCTGAATGGCAGTTTTTCCTGAAGGCCGCAGATATCAAACCTGACCCGACGACATTGAAGTTGGGGTGCGTGGAGACGGTGACGTGGAACGTCTTTGGCGGTGGCTGCTTTTTTGAAAAACCCAGTATGATAATAGTACGGGTATACAGCATACAATATGTAACGTATACTATACTCTCTCCTTATAACTATATATTTATATTTATATGAATGCAATAATTTGCAGTATATGCAGTACATTCTTTCACCAATTTTTTTGTGCAATGTTTGTCCTCCCGGCGTGCACCACCCCTCCAGAACAAAAAGGAGGAACAAATTTCCACCGGGCTGTTGAAAGTCCCGTCCTGTCCTTGAATAGATATGGTAAATATGTCAATATTATATTTACAGTATACGCAGTAGTTCTGGCTTTTTAAAACCATTCTGTCATTGAAGAAGAGCACGATCCCCACCCCAACCCGTACCACCCCACTTTCCACTTCAAAAACGGAACGTTGGATTGAATTCGGAATCTGAGTCGAAGGTCCTCAGCGTCACCCCACGCCACGCCACTTTGAATGCTCGTCGGAGTGCATGAAGGTCATGAGAGCGTTACCCGGACCCCACCCCGCTTCAACATTGGGAATGTTTGAGATGAACGTTGCTCGAAGTGCATGTCAGTACCCCTGATGCGCAAGTGAACCCGAAGCCGGCGCGTAAGTGAGCCGATTGCCGATGTGCACGCGAGACCTTTGCCATACAATTCATGTTTCCCCTCAAAGCACTCAAACAATTTGATCCACCAAAGCCGTGTCGGCTGCAACTCGTCAAAAGGTGGATCTTGTGTTGGGAATTGGGAACCATTGGTGGCCGAAGTGCTTAGGTCATTCAGCGATTGGAATGAAACGGACAATGGTTTGAGGATCTGACACTGTCGTGTTTGGTGCACCCTTCAAGCTCCCCACATTTCACCATGTTGTGGGGGGAACATGCCATCCAACACCCGGCGGTCTCCGGCTTCCACTAGGTCCAGGAGACATTTGACCTGGCGTCGTTGGTTCCAAAGTAGAACCAATGGCAGTTCTGACCGTGGCGATGTAGCCGTCCGAGGTTAGAAAGAGGCACCATTTGGCATAGTTTGCGGGCGTTGTTTTTTGGCCAGGGTGGTTTTTGGTTTTTGGTGACCATGTGGGACTTGACTGTGAGAAACTTGGGCAGATAGGGCAATAGAAAAACAAGACTTGAGGGAGATATTGTTTGGAGACATTCCATGTTTGTGCTGGCTCAAGCAAAGGCAAGTTAAGTATATGTTTGCATTGTGTATCAATTGCGCCCCATGCTCGACAACAACTTGTTATCCGACCTGCCAATGTTTCAGGTGTAGTGTAATCACATGATGTATACATGAACAACTTGAACACTTGGATAGTAGTGGAGTCTAAGCCTCAGAGGTGGCTTTGTTTGAATATGTATGTTTGAGTACTTACATATATACACGCCACATACCCGCCAATAATAGCCAATACATATTTAGTTACATCCATAATGTAGGTTGAATGTTCATGGACAACTCCCCATAACCACCCATTTATATAGATTGAAAAACCTGTTCACCTGTTGGTGTTTTTACATGAGCCAAGGGTCTACATACATATATCATCAACCATCCATTCAATTTTTTGTCATGCATTGCTATGGAGATCTGTGCGGATCCATTTCTCAGCTCCGAGACGCTTTCAGGCGACGCATCGCTTTATTCCGCGGGGATTCCTCCCGCAGTTGGCTGGGCCGGAAGGAATATTGGGATGCTGCCTATGCCTCGGGGCGGTACAAGCAGAGCTACGACGCCAGGATCAATACCAGCAAAATCCACGTACGATGATGAAGGGGGCAATATATCCAATCGGGGTGGGCGGGGTGCCGTTACCTTGTGTTTTTGGTTTGGCACATCCATGGGGCCAAACGCCGGACGTCGCTCCCGAACTCATGGGGCTTGGATTGAAGCAGCAAATCCAAACGCAGTTCCTAAGTTCTCCCATTTGGAAGATTTTAGAGGCGGATCCAAACCGGCCAACCCGGGTTGACCACGAAACATGAACAGAATGGATTGGGAGGTCAACCTACCAGGCTTTGGAGCTCCAGGTTTTGACCCACTGCCATTTGAGCAACCGTCAAAACACGGTATGTAGACTGAGGAAATTGATGGCCACCCCCCAAATCTATATGTGATGGAATGAGGTTTGTCACAAGAGCATAAGATGTGAGCCGTCCGCAAGTCCTTTCGAGAATATCTTTTGGCTGCACATGGTGGGTCCCGAAATAAGTCCTCAAGTGGTTGAGGAATGGAATCAAACCTGCGAGACGATATGGCCTTACGTCACACAGATGCTGGGCACGCGATTAGACAGTGCTGTGCTACACGTTGGATGTGGCAACAGCCAACTGGGGCGGCTATTGCACAATGCGGGCTTCCAACATGTGGTGAATGTGGACTACAGCGAGGTAGGGCCAACAAAGCCACTCTTGTTTTCTTATGTCTTATTGACCCACCTGTATGGTAGCTGCAGCTAAATTGTTGACAGACCCTCTTGTGGGACGACGTTGGTACTACTTTGCTGCCCTTTTACTTCTCATCAAGCATAACTTCATATATATATATATGTAACTCATACCTGGGGCTGTCGTTCAGGCCCTCCCAGCTGTCAGCCTCCTTCAGGACCTCCTTACCATCTCCCCCTCCATTTGGGTGAGTATTAGAATAGGGAGACCCCCGAAAGACCTCCTGGAAGAAGGAAAATCGACCACAGCCCGGAGGAGGGTCCGTCTCATAAAGATGCACCCATCGGGTGCCAGGTGGTCATTGCCATGATGCAGCAAAAGGAGCCTTCTTTGTGCTTTATTTGCGCCGACTGTGCGGAGCCGGGTGCTTTGGGCAGCGCGGAGTGCTACGACTTTGCGCTCGACAAGGGCGCCATCGATTCGCTTTTCGAGTCTTGCCGGGTTGTGTGGCTGACCTATGACCTAAGATCTTCATGAGAAATATGAGGCTCGTGTACATTAGTTGAGAGAATCATGGAAGTGGAGTTCGCCACCGGTTTGGCATGAGGAAATTGATCTAACAAGGGGCCTAAAAATGTGTTTTCAGTGAGTTCCTGGCCATCAGGCTTGCAATGGCTTGTTCACAAACTTGCAAATTTAAGCCTAGTTTCCTGTCGATTCTCGCTTAAATTAACTAACTAGCCTTAAACAATCCATTGACGTGGCTGCATGGCTTCCTCAACCTTTGGGAGGCTTAAGAACCCCCAAGATGTGAAGGTCTTTTAGATTGGGGTCCATATAAACCACCTCTTGGGAATTGGGAATTGTGCCATCTACTCTCAGCACTATATCCTCGCTTCCCATTGATTGCCTTTTTTAATGCAGTTGATGTTTTTCCGACTCTGCCTGCTACTCTTCTCCTCTTTCAGGAGTCCAACTGTGAGCTGATGTGGGAGAGGGGCAGCTCCATGATTCGGGAGGTCCATCGTGTGCTGCGGCCCGGTGGACAGTACTTGGTCATCAGCAATGGCGGCATCGGCCGAGAGGTTTTGGAGGCCACCTTTGCCCAAGTCGAGAGTGAAGCTCGGCGAACGGATAGCTCGGGACCCAGAAAGCTGATGCCGCAAAGAGAGTCGTTGAAGGTAGTTGAGTGTGTTTTTTTTTTGCGGTGGCAGGTACATGTCACACCATGGCTGAGAACCGTGGGGTCATGGTCCACATAGGTTCCAAATAGTGGAGGCTTGAGGTGCTGGCCTGGGGAATGGCACGCTTTGACTCAGTAACACGGGAACGACAGGCAATGATTGTATAGAAGCCGCCTTGATTCACTTGTCCTTTTCCCAATTCCAGATTGGTTAGTTCTGCATGTGTGCCTTCCCCATGATTGAAGATACCCTTGGTTTTCCAGAGGATTACCTTTCGCTTTCAAGATTCAGACATTTGCATACTTGTACTATTTCTTGTGGCTATGACCAAACAGAGCTTCCCCTGGTAGCACACTTCTGGCAAAGGACAGTTTCCACATCTGTCTATGAGCAAAGGAAACAATGTTTCATTGATTGTCCCGGCTCTTCAGACAAGTAAGGAAGAGATTGAAGGCTATGCCTGTGATCTCTACTACAAGCTCATCACCATCCTCCGATGCACCAAATAGGAGCCGACCGTGTTTTCCGCAGATGTGAAAAGAGCGACGCGGGAGAATGATTGTTAGTTTCTGGACAAGGAACACAAGGCATCATATGATTTTATATGACTCTAGCAGTGACTATAGCCTATAGCCAACATTAACATTATAATTAATATACTGTATATGGCAAACACATTCATGCTCCAGGTCGAGGCTGTTGCTGGCTTGCATGCATTTGCATGTGCAGATTGCAGCACAAGCAATTGGGTGGGCCAGATATATAACACTTAAATGTGTTCCTTTGATATCCTTTGCTGCTGTTTCCACAGAACTACTACCGGTGAGCTTTTTCATGCACACTTTTCGTGGCTTTGAGGGTCCAGCTGTGTGTTCGTGACTTGGGAGGGTTCGAAGCGTTTCAACTGCAACTCACAGGCTCAGCTACTGCAGCTGCACTTCAAAAAACCTGGTAGACTCGACCCAGATTGGTGCAGGAATCCCCATCCAACATGGATTGGAGAGTGTGAATTCTTCAGGCGAGTGAAGATGTCCTTGAATCATCTCGAATCACATAAGTCAACTGTTGGGCTCGAAGCTTGCTGTCCCGAGTGCAAGGAGAGTTGCACATATTTGATGGGACCTCGCAAAAACAACACCTCCAGCAACCAACTTGACACATCCATCCCGCACTATTTGCCTGTGAAACTGATACGAACTTTGCTTCCCTGGTTTTTCTTTCCTCAGCATCCCTTCACAAACATGCGCATCCCTTGACCAATTTGCATCCTTCGTCGACCTCTTGGAGTCCTTAAACCCCTAATACTACGCCCAAATCACCCGACAATGCCCTCGTCACGTGATGTGCTCCACCAGCGAAGAGGCCGCGCGGAGGCTCAGAGAGCCGGGTCCACTCCCGGACGTGGCGGACGCATCAGGTTCCACTTCCATGTGTCCATGTTTGCTGGGAATGTGGAAATATAGCTCCTGTCAGAAAGCAGCTCCCTGTATATCAGGCCTCATGTATGAAATTAAAAAAAACGCAGCACTGAACATGTCGCTTGCTTTTCTCTGGGGCAAGGAACCCCTGTGACACACCGTGTGATGCTTGCTTTTTCTCTCTGAGGTTGTCGCAGCTGCTCGGACTGCCATTATCGGTCTGTGTGACCATGTGTGACCTTCATGTCCAGTCCTGTCATAGTCTTTGTGGCGAACACCCCTCCCAGTTTGCTTCGACGTGTGTCGACTAGTTTGTTGTTTTTGGGAAGGCTCATTTTAATTTTGGTGACATAGGCTTCTAGGCTTCTAGGTTTGCTTGGCACCTGTGGGTGCAGTCCGGTCCATAGTGATTCAGGAGCTGATTCAGCTCCACTTGGTCGAGACCGATACGGGCTCCGGCAGCTGGCACAGCCCGGTGGTGGCCAACCTGCCCACCAGCCGCTGGGTGCGAATCAGATTTTTTGGGTGAGGACCCCCAAGACCGGGGTGATGGGAGGGTGTTGATCTCCCTGCCATAGCCAGGCCGCCTGGGGGACATGAAGCAGGAGGAGCGGGCCTCGGAACAAGGGGCCGCTTTGTGAAAGGTGTTTTAGCAGTTGGGTGAAAAATGAACCATCCATCCCTATTTGCTCCAACAAATCCAACGATCATCCCCTTCGCCGCTCAATTCTATACGTCAACACCATTTTGAGCGACCAGGTCCCTCAAGTAGATCCCCGGGCTTGACCATTTTTTTGGGGGTGGAGCTATCAGCTATTTGCATAGGAAGAACCTGCTTTGATACTGTGGAGCTTGTTAGTGGTCCACAAGTCAGCACTGTCTTTTTGGATTGTAACCACTGGATTTTGACTCATGACACTCACTTTGCCCACCTGATCACTGGGCCAAGATGCTTGTTAGCGATCCGTGCGCGATCGGCGGCAGGAGATTGCTAAGCTGGTGCCAATCCGAAAAGACTTGGTCTCCAGCTTCAGATGCTCGCATGCGCTGAGAACTCCCAGGAACTCCCATGGTGGGAGTTCCCATGAGTTGGTGGGAGTTCCGAAGAGTTGACCTTTCGGCCCGAAAGCTGCTATAGCCCGAAGCCACAACCTCCTAACAAGCTGCTATAGCCTGATATGCACGGTGCTGATGTGAAACTATCAACTTGACCATACAGGTCCTTCCTCCATGGGCCGGGCGACCTCCAATCATGTTTTCATGTGTAGACTCGGCAGACCCAGCAATCCCGGTGTGTTATTTGAGCTCCGTCCATGTGGTGCGGGTGGGAACTGCTCAGGCCACGAATCCACCGCGACCAAAGTCTACCAGTGGATCATGGCCTACGAGGATGCCTGGCACCGTCTTGATGAGGCTTTTAATTAGCAGTCCACTTGGCCGTAGACCATGTAGTTGCACCACCAAATGTATTTGGATTGATTAGCTGACTAGCTGCCAAGATGATGTCCCAGAGTCAGAGTCTACGGATGCGGGACCCGGCGTAAATACCAACCGAAAAGGACCTCCATCGTTGAAAGATGTTGAAAGTTGAAAGGTTTTGTATGATTTTGTCCAGCTACTTCGCGTTTGGACTGTGTGTTCAGTTGGGGAACTGAGGGCATGATAGGGACCATCACATCAGCAAAGGTGGTTTGATGTTCTAAGAGGCAAACATGTCCATGAGTCCATGTGATATTACAAGCAACATCAAGAAACTACTGACAGGACAAATCCAAAGTATTCCATTGGTTGTGCCATCTAGTGTCACTCTGGAGAATTTCTTCAGAACTGTTCAGGTGGGTACTGTTGGGCATACAGATGCATACAGTAGACTAGTCTGCTTCAGACTGTCCCACATACCTCACAGATTTGGTTTGATCCGTGCATTCGCTGAGTAGCTCATTGTGTGTGGTGGTGGGGGGCGGACATTCTCTTCACCTCTCCAAATCCTTATGCCGCCAGTGGTGCTGGTAGTGCCTCGCTATGTTACACATCAACAGACTTGTGACTTGCCTTCCATGTCACAAGATTTGCTTGTCCGCCTGCATGTTCGTACTCTGAGGAAGCCAAGGGCTACTTGAACTATACGCGCGTCAGCTTCGCTTGCTTCAGCAACGGTTTTCCTTTGTCTTGGTGAAATGAAAGTCATACACTACCGCCATATATAGCCCAACCATTCAACAGAAGGTTGTTGTGAAACGTTAACGGCGTTTGGGCACCTGCTGTCAACCGAAAAGAGACCTGTGAGAGATGGCGTCGCATCGAGCGCGCATCTCCGGACCAGATGGCGTCGCCGCGCTCGTTGATGATACATCGAGAGTAGATGGCACAATCCCCAGGTTCAGTGGCTTGGATGAGCCCAATGGGGCCCCACTTCCCATCTAAAAGATATCTCGGGGTGCAATCGAACCTCTCAAAGCACTGTAGGTGAACGCTCGGATTTTGGCCTGCGAGCTCCTAAAAGAGTGGGCCTATGAACATCGGCACTTGGGAGATCGCGGCATCGACGTGCATTGCCTGTGCCGCTACAAGGAGCCTCTTGGAGGAGAGCTGAAGCAGCGACTGAAGCGTCGGGCTGTTGGGGTTTATCCAATAGACTGGATGATGACGAATAGATGCCGATTGATGCAGAAGAGAACTGAATCATCTATATATTGTCATATATTGTCTATATAATTCTATGTATCTATATTATATATATAGGTTTGGATCTGTTGGATGTTTTTTTGGTGATGTTCTTATACGTTCTTGGGGGGTGGATACAGCAACTACCTCATTCACCACTGCTCCCCTCCCCAACTAATTCCTAGGTTTGCCTAGACTTTCGTTCACATGCTGCACGAGCATGAGGTTCGCTGGTCATTTGCTGTACTTCCACGACCGGTGGTCAGGATCTCAGCCCTAGTGGGTCAATCCTGGTTTTGACCCACAGCCCAATGAAAGCCATGTTGTTGCCAACTCGGCGTTCTTGCATTTGATCGCCAGGGCGGACACTGAGCATGGTGCCACACGTTCAAAGATCCTGGGGCAGCCACATGGCATTATTCGGAGCAAGAACAAGGACCTTGTGGCATGGGACGTTGGCAGGTGAGTGACAGTAAGCAATGTGTTCCTGTGGTTTCTGTTTGGCAAGGAGTGCCGTTGAGATAACCAACTCTGGAAACGGCTATATACACTCCCTAACAAATAATCGGACGTGGATAAGGGGTTGTGAAGGCCAATGTTTCTCTACAACGGGCGGTTGCACTTCCATGTTATTGACTACGAGAATAAGACCTTGGGCCAAAGTTGATGAAGCATCCACCTGGACTTTGGGGTCCCTCCTGCCACGTGTTGGTCTGTGCCAGGAGACCTTTGTTTCAACCTTAGTGAAGGTTCATGAGGCGCTTGCCAAGTTGCAACAATCCTTGGAGAAGGCGTGGTGCTTGGGGTGCTTTGACTGGATTTCTTTCGAGATCGGCTTCCACATGGGAGAAAGCGACCAGATGCTACAAGTATATCCGACAGCCTTGTTTGAGAGATTCGTGGGATTGGCTCGCTGTATGTTTTGACTAGACTGACCCGGGCTTATGCCCTTTAAAGTGTGCTGTGCAGGGGATGCTCGTTAACTTTTTGTTTAAACAAGGACTCATTGGTGCTTCACTTAGTCTTGGTCCAAGAGGTATCGAGGAAAGATGGGAAGCCCTTCGGACACGCTCCATTCTTGTTTTGAAGTAACATCCATCGAACCCGCGGTGGCAGGGGAAGATCATAATCATATAAGGTTGTCGTTCGTCCAAGAGCCACACGAATGACATGTGGCTATAGATCAAAACAGGGGAGACCTTGGTTGACCAGCGAACATGAACGGCATGGACTACGAGTCGGAGGTCAACCTACCGGGGTTTGGGGCCTCGGCCTTTGGTCACGTCCCAACACGTGTTAAAGACAGATGAAGAAGTCAGGGGAGCAAAAAACAAGACACCACGGTAGGTAGCATGGAGTGCTGCACGGAGGCCATGACATGCCGTTGATGTTCCGTCTTCATGTGGTTGATGTATGTTCAGTCTTCACTCGGACCATCTCGGATCTGAGAGGTATTCCATGTGTTTGCCACGCAGCGACCGAGAGATGATGATGGCATGTAGCCTGTCACCATGGGCATCTCCACACTTCCGGAAGTATCGATCATGGGAGGTGTCCGATGAAAAACATGCCATATGCAGATTCAACAGACATATACATACGCATGCACACGCAAGTGTTTTTTCTTGCAAATAAGCTGCATGATGAAGTGCCGTACAATCAAATCTCGGCATGGGAACTGTCATACCTTTACAGCCCAGTGTCAGGTGTCAGGTGTAAAGTGTCGCCCTGCAGCGGAGCAGCTACAGTTTAGGCATAGGATGCTGTCGAAAGGAGAACCTTGTAGCTTCAGATTTGGGACACGTAGCAGCTTGAGGCGAGGCATTTTACACGCCATATAGTTTTGTGTCCAGATCGCGATGGGTGCGGCCTGCGCACGGCGCCGTCCACAGCAACTGGCAGAGGGTGAGACGCCGTTCTGGGAAGAGATCGAAAAGGCTAAGGCATCGACTGCTGGTCAGCACTCCCCGGAAGCTGCCACAGAAGAGACACAGGCAGAGGACTGGCTCCCAGTGAGACAAAACAAAGTTGGCGAATAAACTTAAACGGATTCCTGTTGAATTGTGTGTTTGAAGCTCTTTCTATGCAGTTTGAGGGCTCTTGCGATAAACCTCTCAAAGTGGCACTCTATGCACTTTCATGAGGTTCAATATGTCAAGAAATCAGTTGCGGTTGCAGGAGGTTCAACAGGATGAGAAGGACGAAGTGGAGTTGCCGGGCTATGAGCAAGCGAACCACCTGAAAGAGCAGGGCAAAGACAAGCTCCTTGGGCTGTGTCCAGACGTTCCTTTCTCTTGAGTTGCGTTAGTCAACCCTTCAGTGCATTCTTTCCACCGAAGGTTCCGCATTCTCACACCGCGGGGCGGAACGGGGATCGGGACAGAAGTGGCCAGCTTTCTTTGTCAAAGTGAAGCATGCTTACCTGGAGTTTGCTTGCCTCCTTTAACAAGGAAGACGTGGAACGTTAGTCGCTAATTTTATACTATTTTGTAAAATTTGTTGTGACATGTTCATCGCCAAAACACCAAGCACAGAAGAGCAAGCTGCACCTGGGAGGAAGAAAACTTAAAGATGGCTGGCGCACGGCCATGGTCCATACATGTCCATCTCACCCTTTGACACTCAAGGTCAAACGTATTTTCCAAGGTCGAAATCTCACGTCCGAATGGCTCACCCTCCGCACCAGACTCGACTCCCAGAAGACCCAGATACCCAAACCGCTGGCGCTGCCAATCCGTTGCCTCAGGGCCATGCGATCCGATCCCATTCGCCGCCCTCCGCTCCGTGACACGCCGTGGAAACCGCTCCACCCCCGTGCGCGTTGCTGGAGGTTTGCTCGAGGTGAGCTGGACGAAGCGACTGCCTGTTGGCTCCAAGCCTTGGAGTCCTTACCACCGTCCTCCGCAGCGCCCAAGGGCCTCTTGGGCCTCCTTCCTCGGAAGGAGGAGGCCTGGCCTGGATGGGAAAAGGGCTACGCTTGGCGTTGTTTAGCAGTAGCTTGGTTGCTCTTGGGGTCTTCTTTG